GGCCCCGCCCCACAACCCCTTCGCTTTGCAGCTGCATCTGGAGAATTCATCAGAAGTAAAGGCAGAAATAAATGTTGGAGGTTGGGAATGTGGTGGCTGGGGGCGGGGGCAGAGCATCCCTCCTGCGGAGTGTCAGGAGCCCCAGAGCTGTTTTGGGTGGTTCATGGAAGCTGTCCGGGGGGCATCTGGCTCTCTGGGTGAGGCGTTCCCGGGCACTTGTGGTTGGAAAGCTGGTGGAGTTGATGTCGCAAGGATTCTGGAGGGTTTGCCTCCTTTTAATGAGGGTGAAATGCCTGCAACGGTTATCCTGTGAAGGCAGGCCGAGAGAATCAAGGTTTAGCCTGGAGGAGCTCTGGGGAGGCTTTATAGTGGGCTTTGGGTACTTACTGAGATACTTTCAGAGCTCATAAACATGGACAGAAGCTTCTTAACAGCCTGATTTAGATGATATAAAAGGAAGAAATTTTATATTATCAGGATGATGAGAGACCAGAACAGGTTGCCCAGAGACGTTGTAGATGCTCCATCCCTGGAAAGGCTCAAAGTCAGGCTGGATGGGGCTTTGAGCAACCTGATCTAGTGAAAGATGTCCCTGCCCATGGCAGGGGGCTTGGACTAGGTGATCTTTAAAGGCCCTTTCTAACGCAGACCACTCTGTGATTCTCTAACCACATTCCCCAAGCTACTGTTGTCTCAGAGAAGAGCCAGCAGCTGTGGACTCTGCTAACTGCTGACCCTCATGGCTCAGCTGTGGGTGCGGGGATGAGACCCACCTCTGAAGGTCAGAGCCTGCTGCCCGTGGTGCTTGGCAGAGCACCAGGCCTCGGTCTTACATGTTGCTGCTGTGCTTCATGTTGCAGAACAGACTTCTCCCCTCCCTGCAGGGTTTTCTCATTTTGTATTAACTCTGCTTCCCTGTTAACGTTACCTTGCTTCAAGGTGCCCTGGTGCCAGGGCCTTTCATCGAGCAATTCAGGCCGTTGGCTGTTTCAAAAGGGAGCCCTGTTCAAGCTGCTCGTTATTTTCCTGCGGGCAACATCTGAGACAGGGGAATACCAGTGGCCGAGAACAGTAAGTAGCCAATTCGAGCTTTGTTTAGAGTAACATGAGCTCTTCAGGGCCTGCAACGTCAGCTTTCAGTGAGTAAGTTCTAGAAGCAGAATGGAAAAGCAGTTGGAGTTTTAAAATTTTTCTTATTTTTTCTTATTTTTTATTTTTTTTTATTGTTTTCCATGGTATGGCAGTGCTTCTCTGGGTGTAGCAGCTCAATACAAAGCCAATAAAATATTGCAGTGGAACAGCACATTAAAAAATCAAGCCAGTTTTTAGCTTCTGTGTGAAGAAAACACACAAGTACAAACCTCCAAAGAGGTCTGAAATTACTCCTACAGAACAAATCCTGAGAACCTGTCTCAGATTTAGCAGCTCTTGAACCAACATTACAATTAATAAGCAGATAAAATGGAAATGCAAAGTATTCAATGAATACCTGACCCCATATCTTCGAATCTTTAGGATGCTCATTTAGGTTCCTTCTCATCTCTAGACACCAAACCAAATCAATCACCGTGGTGTCTCTAGGATGCTTTGGATTTCCTGATGTACCCAGCTGTCCCACCTGGCGAGAACCTGTTGGTATTGGAGAGCAGATGGGCAGGCTAGTGCTGCCTTTCACTGTAGCACTGAAGGCTTCAGGAGCTGCCCTCTGTTTCTCACACTGTTCTACCCTTTAACAGGGACTTCAGACCTTGCCAAACCCACACACCTGCAGCCAGTCCTTGAAACCAGAGTAAGTCCTGATGAAGCCTTTTTCCTCAAATGTTTTCTCCAAGTAGAGGTGGCAGTAGCTCTCTGGGAATCTTCTCCACTCTGGCATGTGCAAGAGGATCTGCCATCATCCACACAGCTCTGCAGGTGAAAGTCCATATGTTACATTCATGTCTTGTAGCACAAGCCTTGGAAGCATCAGCCTGGCCTAGAACATTCCTGACCAAAGGGGTTTTAATCTGTTATTCAAATCCTCTGATCTCCCAGGCAATCTGTTGTAGAAAAATTACTTTCTCCACCAGGGTTCTGTAATTCTAATGTTTGCCCACAATGGACAGGGAAATAATTTATTTCCTCTCTCTTTGCAGGCATCTTTTAGCTTATCTGAAAACAGTTTCAACTCTTAGTCTTTTATTCTCTGAATTATATTGATTACTATCTTTTTATCTCCGATTCCTCTTCGCCTCCTTTCTTTGGTTGATCTGAGGTTCCTTGACGCCTAAATCCTTGCTGAGTGAGTAATGGGAAATTACTTTGGTTACTGCAGACAAAATTCTTGTTGATATTTCTGCATATGAGATCTGATATAGGCAAGAATTCTTTCTTAATATCTCATAACATAACATGACATTCCTGATTTATGGGCAGCCTGTGACACACAATATGTCTTGGACTCTTTTCAGCTGTGTTCCACAACATTCCCTATCTTGTACTTGCATTTTCTTTCCACATAGTTATTCCTAACTGTCTAAGCTAAGTTGCTTTTCCCAGATTGTTTTTCTGGTTTGTCAAGATCACTTGACTTCTAATCTTGCTGTTGATGTTTTGCAGCC